CTCGCTTGAAGCTAATGCGTATTGTTACCCACTCACCCTGGGTATATGTGCCAACAGGCTTCGTGCTTTTTCTCGTGTTCATTCATTACGATAGCTTCTGAGTTCGAACATCTCTTCGATCTTAAAGATGTGACTGAAATTCGTGCAACATGCCTGAATCTAATTACATACGAAGCTCAGCAAATCTTCACCTGAATCCATACAAATGCTTTATCGAGACTTTGCGAATATTCATTTGGTCGAAAGCAGGATTTTGCGCAGCGCTCACGTTTAAAGACGGATCGAGTGTTATTACAACTGATCGACGTTCGAGGAGACCAATAACTAGCAAGATGAGTTCAAAGCAGAAGTAATGAGTTAACACGACTATATAAATTTTTCATATATATATATATATATATATATATATATATATATATATATATATATATATATATATATATATATTTTATATTTATTTATATATATTTTTGTGTGTTTGTGTGTGTGTGTGTGTGTGTAAAAAATGTTAATGTTTGTGTGTAGCTGTGAATTGAGCATATATATATATATATATATATATATATATATATATATATATATATAGTCAAAACTAGTGAGCCAAACAAAGCTACCCAGGTTTCACGTAAAAAGGATCGTCAGGTATTTTTTTTCGCCAGGCTTTCATGTTTCTAACTTTTTCTTTTTTTAAAACATTTTTTCCTTAGAGATTAATTTGAAATTATTACAAATCAAAAATTCGAAGGTTTTTTTAGAAATAGTTACCTAATTTATATTTATATATATATATATATATATATATATATATATATATATATATATATATATATATATATAAAACGTTGTGTGTTTTTTAAACACATAGATTCCTTTATCAATGCAAATATAAAAACTGACACCTAGCTGATTGATGATATATTCAGCACCCCGAATTAACCGTTTCATAGAAGAAACGTTTTGTAATAATTCGGCTCCCTTTTCAGGAGGTATCAGCAACTGACTGTCGATACTTTCATCCCTGTTATTTTTATCTTATGTCAAAAAATAATATATGCGCCTTTTATTGCGTTATGTTTATTTCTTTCGTCTTTTTTTGTAGGTGTGTGTTTCCATGGGTCTATGCCCGTGTGAACGTCTGCGTGTGTACGCTTCTATGTCTGTGGATGTGCACGTGTGTAGAATGTGCTTATTTCTTCCTTCCGAAATTGTCTTGTCTGCTTATGCTCCGCCATTATTACTTTATTTTCTTTTTTCTATCTTTCGTCTTTTAGTGTCATATGCAGGTGTATTCCGTATTTTTTTTTAATTTAATTCTTATTTAAATAGATATCATTTTTTATTAATGCTTAAATTGGATAATAATTATTTGTTTTGTCTTCACTTAGCCATTATATCGTTTTATTTATTTAGTAGTTAATAATTTGTTACTTACATGACTTGTTTTCATCTTAAATTAAATATTAGAAACTTAATTATGGAAGGCCAGGTTTATAACTGTATCACTGTATTTTGTTTATTGTTGACTGTATATAGACATATACACAGATACAAGCACGCGCACACATACACATAAACATGCACACACACACACACACACATATATATATATTTATAAATTACATGATGAATTACAATCTTTCAATTAAAGAGTAGGTTTTTAAGATTGTCTAATATTTCCTATTTGAACATGTGTTGATATTTGAAATATAGGATAATGTTATTTTTCTAATGTTATAATTCCAACCGTCTTTAAACTTTTGTCTAGAGACTAGACTCTAAAAGAAACTTTATTCCTCCCATTTATTCTCTATCCATCTCTAAATTGGTCTTTTTTTTTCTTTTTTTCTCTTTGTCTTTCTTTTTCCTCTCATTTTAGATTCCTTTTCCCTGATTTGTCGTCGTTCCATTCCATTTTTCCTTCCGGTCTCTTATTTAATTTTTTTAAAAAAAACGTTAGGCTTCCCATTTCCTTTATTTTATCTAACTTTTAGTGTTGAAAACATCCCGAATGAAATTTTTTCCAGCGAAACGAAATGTCGATTCAGATGCGTTATTTTATAATTTTATTTGTAATTTATTTTGATATGGTTGTAATAAAAAACATCCGTTGATATCGTTGTAATAAAAACATCCGTTTTAATATTTCTTATTATTAGGATTCACTTGGATTACTTACCCATAAATTTTACCTCTCTCTCTCTAATAATATATATATATATATATATATATATATATATATATATATATTGAAGAGAATGATTATCAGAAATAGATAGATAGATAAAGATAGATGAAGAAAATTAAATTTTTGTATACATTAGACTAGTTGAGCCAAGTTGTAATAAAAACAACTGTTGATATGGTTGTAATAAAAACATCCGTTTTAATATTTCATATTATTAGGATCCACTTGGATTACTTACCCACCCAGTTTTACTTCTCTCTCTCTCTCTTATCTCTATCTATCTATCTATCTATCTATCTATCTATCTATATCTGATATATATATATATATATATATATATATATAAATATATATATATATATCAGAGAGAGAGAGAGAAAAAGAGAGAGATAGATAGATTACAATATTTAAATATTTTTGACTATTGAGCCAACCTTAAATGACTAGACTTTTGGAAATGTTTTATAGTCCACCAATAGAAGATTAACCAATCAGAAGACGTAGAATAATTCAATCCGTCGTTGTATAAAGGCATCATTATTTTGTTTATCCTACCGGAATGACCAGTGCCAATTGTCAGGCGAAGACGAACAGAAGGAAGAATTACGCAAGGAAACTTTACCGGGATATCCACTGCTAACCTGAACTAAGGTTCCCTACTGTAGTCGAAATATTCACTGCTAACCTCTGTAAAACACTTCTTTGAAATGAAATGACGACCGTTTTATGAACAAAAATATATATAGCATCTTTGAATGTAAAAGTTTAAATTTCAAGACGTTCAATAAAAAAATTCCTTTCAAAAGTGCTATATGACGTAATCTAGGATCTAACATCTAAATCTTTTCAGTTAATTTGTTGAATATTTATGAGTGTTCTTAATGTGAAATTTTGAGTAACTGTAAAATATATACTTTTGATAAAAAAACCAACGCATTTTCATTCAGTTTGTTTTTTTTCTATAGATATATTTAATCTTCGTATATTTACACACACACGCGCGTGTGCACACACACAGACGCGAATAAACACAGACAAACACACATACTTAATAGCCTGAAGAAAAAACTTTAATGAGAAAATTGTATTTTTTTTTTTAAAAAAAATAATTATTTGAAAGAAAAAATTGGTACTTTTCTTAATCAATTTTCTACGGCTACAAAGAAATTGATTCGTGGGATCGAAATGACTGAAATAATAATAAGCAAACATAGTATGTCTAAAATCTGTAAAATTCAGATCTGTTTGAATTAAAATATGCAGAATCAACCCATATATATATATATATATATATATATATATATATATATATATATATATATATATATATATAATTATTTATTTAAAATATGATTCCAAATCGCTACATAAGAGGTCTCATGTTTCAAAACAAGAGCCGAAAACTTCAATATAATCCTTTAAATTAAATTGAGTTGAAAGTAAAATGGGCTCCGTTCCATCTTCAAGCGAAATTTTTGTTGGAATAACGTATATCTGAAATTTACTTGTTCTAAAATTGAAATCAAAATCCCCATGGTAACAGCTAGGGTGAATTGTCTAAATTGGGTAGGCGAGTGTAGGGTGTTTATAATAAGTAGCGGTATAGAGATACTTTCAAGGTGTCAAGTCGGGGAAAGGTGGGGGTGTCAAAAATGAAACGGAAGATGTATTAACCTTCGTCTAGTTTGCTTGTCCATGGAGATTTATTTATTTATTTTATTTTATTTTATTATGAAAGGGAATTGTGCATATAAAAAAAAAAAAAACTTTCGTAACGTTTGTTTTTTTGACGACTTCATAAAAAAGTTATTTTTTTAAACTTTAAACTAATTTAGGCTATGGATTATGAAGTGTGTTATATGTTGTATGCATGTTTGTAGTTAATTATTCCTACTATGAATCTGATGATTGGGCTATTTGTTAAACAAGTTATATAAAATTTTTTTTTTCTAATAATTCAAACCAAAAATCTGATGATGCCTACAAAAAAACCGTCTCGTGTCTATTATTTAATAGATTATTATTATTTAGAAGTTTAATAATGTGCAATTTTTCATGGAGGCACAAAGGGCATGGGTCATCCCAAGCTTTACATATTCTAGCCTTTTTCATATATATATATATATATATATATATATATATATATATATATATATATATATATATAATAATAATAATAATAATGATAGACTAGCAAATACATGTCGTTCATTGGGTTTGAAAGAAGCTGCCAAAATTGTACTATGTTTTTGTATGATATTGATTAGAGAATATTAAACGTATAATAATAATTGGCTCTTCACATTCATGTAGGTGATACAGCTATATTCATCCAGGTAACGTAGTAGAAATGACTGCCAGTTTTCATGTAGAACAAAGATGTACTTTCTCCAGGCCAATATCAGCATGGTTGCATATAACATTTTGCCTGGCATCTCTATACTTTGGTCTATAAATAAAGCAATGATCACATATATAACTAAATACAAGACTGAAGAAAACTATAAACATATGCATATTAAAATATTTATTTAAGTGTTGCAACAAACATCAACAATAAGAATATACTATTATAGTAATGTTTATTTTCAGTATAATATATGTAGGTGCCTGGTTGGTGCTATCTGTCGAGTATATATTCTGAAACACCTCTCATTTACTTCTGGTGTTTCAGGTTGTCTGGAAACTGCAATACGCTGAATATCCATGCTACGTTTCATTTCAGCTTCTACAGTCTGTTGAGCATTTAATGTACGTCAGCTTGTTGATTTTCAGACTGCCATGTTGCTGCATTCCATTGAGTATCTAATCTACGTCTTCTCTCAGCTTCTTCTTGAGATTCAGACTATCTTACTGCAGCAGTCTAATGAACATCTAATCTTCGTCTTAGATCCTCTTGTTCTTGAATTTTTGGCACTCGTGAAGCTGCATGCCTTTCTGAGTCCTCTCTCCATTTCTATCTCAGCTGGTCTTCACTTTTTTCTGCTCTTTTTCGGATGTATTGTAGTAAGTGTGTAGCCTAATTTTTATTTGCATTAATCTATAGGCAGAACAGACATCTGTAAAATATAGAACTCTTTAGCTTTGGTCATTATAAGATAAACGAATTTATCAAGAGTTCAAATAAATTGTAAAGTTACTTATTAATGGAATTTACCAGGTAGGTGTTTCTGTTCCCTCTGCTCACCTCAAATATAGCCCATTATACTCCCTTTTATGCCTACTCTCTATGTTCCAAATTTAATGATGATCGGTGAAGTAGTTTTTTTTTCCTACAGATGTAGAGTCAGGTAGACACCCAGACACACAGACGTATACAGTCACGTTCATCTTTATTTATATAGACACACACACAAAAACACACACATATTATTTTCTACAATGAAATTTAATCTACACGAGTGAAAATATCGTGTTTTTCATCCGAAATGATTCAGTCGAAAAGAACCTAAAAGGTCAGAAGTAAACCTTGGTTATTTTTAAAAAAAAATGGATGTTGATGTACAAGAAATAAATTGCAAATAGGAACAATCTAAAGAAAATGTTAAAGATATAGATATTGTCAGTTGGATTTATCGAATAAAATTTTTCTGCATATATATATATTTTCTGCATATATATATATATATATATATATATATATATATATATATATATAGTCATCCACACAAAAGCCTGTTTGGCTGTATCAAAGCTCATCAGTGTGGCTTGAAATCCGATTGCTTCAAGTTCAAGATGGGATCAAAAACTCGACCAATTTGGCATCAGTCAGAGATTCTACACCTAATCAGAGAAACTGAAATTTTTAGCGTATTATATATGGGGTATATACAAACGCCAGTAGCCAGGAGCGTTTAATTCGTAATTAATGATGATTTAATAACATAAGCAGCCAATGTTTTTGTTTTTAAATTACCCTTTTCTATAATCGTCAATCGGCTAATGACGTTAATCTATCTATCTATCTATGGTTTACAATATATATATATATATATATATATATATATATATATATATATATATATATATATTGTGTGTGTGTGTGTGTGTGTATATATATATATATATATATATATATATATATATATATATATATATATATATGCATGTTTGTATTTCTTTTTTCATTGGGATTTTCATATTGATATCACGTATGACGAAAAACTCTCAGCTGTATAAAATGCTTTTAGAAATCGTTGCTTAAATATGACTTTGAGCGAGTGAACCCTTTAGCGTTTGGCCAAGGTCATCCCTATTTGAATATTGAGGACTTGCGCTACAGAATATCAAGCAAAGAACTGTACCAAATAGCAGAAACCTTATCAGCTGAGGACTATCGACAGCTGCAACAACTAAAATGCATAATACGTGTAACTTGAAGAAAAAAATAATGACATATTTAACTTTCCATACTATTTTTAATCAAAATTTAAGAAATGAATCCTTCATTAATATTGAGAAAAGTGATAACAGCTACGGGACTTGAGAAAACCCTTTTTCCTGAAAATGTGTTTTAATATAAAGAATTTATAAATTACAATACATATAAATAATATCTGCACCATCGCTTAATGTCGAATGTTTCCTTGTTGGGAAACGGCTATTATTATGATTACCATAAAGCATATTTATGGTGGTATGTAATTGTTAAAACTTGACTCATGCATGGAATAATAATACAACATAAAATGTACTTAGAACAAAATGTATTGAAACAAGAATGTGTACACAATATTTACATATATTCTTTTGTATATTTCTGGGAAGATCGTTCCTGGAGAATGTGTTGACTTAGTCGCAGTCGGGCAGAGTCTCTGGATTGAATCTCTTGATTCCTCCTCTCGTCTTCCCGGTACCAACCATATTTATATGGTCGGTACTCCACTGTGCAAATTAGGTGGATCCTACCACAACAGTATTTCATGATTTTGAATTAGACTCTTTACAACAGAACCAGTGACGACATAGAAGATAATACAGAATAGTTACTGTGAGGATAATCCCATAAATAATCTTCTGCAAATAACTCAACAAAGTTATTATGCTTTATCTATATCTGTATTTGTGTCTATTTATGTATATGTGTCTATGAGATCGAAGGATTTTATGAAAGGACTTTCCTGCAATTGTTGAGATTACGTCAATTTGAAACGTTAAAACAAATGCAAAAACGACCAAAAAAAAAAGTGTTAAAAGTAACCGTTTATGTTTCAGACATAAATTAACACAAGGACATAATGAGATTTTTTTAAATATTTTTTTTCATATTTTTGGAAGAGAAATGAATGACGAATGTAATGAATTCTCTTCGCAAG